GGTGGGTGTACACATGATACCACGGTGTGTACGTCACGCTACGAGTCGTGTGAACTGTTTGTCGTAACCACACTGGGTCCGTATTCTCAGAGGTAGGAAGTGGCATGGGCCCCAGTTCTAATAGGCCCCAGTTCTATTCGGCCCAATTCTAATAGGGTCTAGTTTTAATATACTGTAGTTATAATATGTTCCAGTTCTAATAGGCCCCTAGTTCTAATAGGGCCCCAATTCTAATAGGGCCTAGTTTTAATATGCTCTAGTTATAATAGGTCCCAGTTCTAATAGGCCCCCCAGTTATAATAAACAATATTTCTCATAGGTCCCAGTTATAATAGGCCCTAGTTCTAATAGGAACCAGTCCTAATAGGCCCTAGTTTTAATAGGCCCCAACCTAACCATGAAGATTGGTTCTCATTATCATTTAGCCCCATCCCTGATAGGTTCCACTCCTAATAAGTTGAAGATGTCAACTAGGAACGGGGCAAACTAGGATCTGGACCCATTGGTGATTGGAGCCTATGAAAAATTAGGACCAGTTATTTTGTTAAGATAGGTTAGGATAGGTTAGGTTAAAGCCTAATTATAACTGGGACTAAACTCATCAATCACTTTCCCAAAGGCTCGTAAGGTCAATTTACCCTCAAACAACAGATATGTAAAATACATCTCACTTAAGTTTATTTGTCTTGAGAAAACAAAGAACAAGACATCTCTGCCCAGTTCTGGTTTATTGAACTGTAAAAAAAAAAAGAACTTTATTCCTCTCAACGTTATCTCTCCTTTCTTTACCTGTAGAAACAAAAGGCTCTTACGCGGGTCTTGCTATGGGAAGGGTACACCGTAATGGAACAGATATGGAAAGGCAAAGGAAAAGGTGGAAGGAAAATTTTTATTGTATGATGAGAATTTTTTTTTTATCTTCATATTATTCATTCGTAGAGGAATAGTCATTAAAAATAGTGAGAAAAAAAAATAAAATAAATTAAAAATCCCGAATCATATATTATCACAACGTAATAATTTCCATCAGTACCGTAACGTATCGCAAATTATCGCATAAATAATTCCACACAATTATCCAAACGCCACAATATTACTTATGTAAATTCAATATCATTTGTGAAATAAAAAAAACAGTAATTGTCTTGATAACAACTGGTTCTTATTTAACCCTTCCACCTAATTTGCATACTAGCCAAGCAGGTGGTAATGCTTTTTATTAGGTAGTTTGTGACTCTATTGTATGTGTCTGTATGTATGTGTGTGTGTGTGTGTGTGTGTGTAGATAATAACACACATCATCACTGTAGTAGACAACACCACACACACACACACACACACACACACACACACACACACACACACACACACACACACACACAGGACTTCCCTTCTTCACCACTTAAAATAACTTTGATAATAACGAAACTCTTTCTTAACACATAACTGTAATCAACCATAAACATCTTGACAACGACACAAAAGAAAATAATAAACATAAAAACACAATGATGTTAAATTAAATGTTTTTGTTTTCGATAATAATGAAAGATTTTTTTTTTCATAATATATCAGAGATTATACACTTGGCTGTTTGTTTATCCATCCATCCATCCATCCATCCATCCATCCATCTATCCATCCATCCATCCATCCATCTATCCATCCATCTATCCATCAAATAAGTCAACCCCATCACAACAACATCAAGACTAATTTAATTATCATTTTTTTTTCCAGTTGTCGTCTCCGTTCTGCATAGTTATCCCCCTCCTGCCATGGACTTCGCTCCTGTGGTCGGCTCAGAGGGACTTGACCCGCCTTAATAAAACTGGTTACCTGTTGAGAATGTTATCATCAAGTACCGTATTGTCATTATGAGGTCTATTATGTGTCTTCTCTTCCACTACATTGATAATGAGATAGAGTTAAAGGTGTGTAATTAAGGATAAGGTATAGTTAAGGTGGTATAATTAGGGTTAAAGTACAGTTAAGGACAGATAATTAGTAAATACAATTAAGGATATAAAATAAAGAATAATATGTACTTAACGACATACAGTATAACTCATAACAACAAAATTATATAACAATTGTAATAAAAACATACAAATCTCAATATGATTTTGTTTCAGTGAGTAAGGCGGTTAATGTTATCTATATTACTTGTGCTGCTCTGTTTTGGGAAGGTCAAAGGTCAAAGGTCAGAGGTCAAAGGTCAGAGGTGAAAACATTAAAAAAAAAAACGGGAGAATTACTGAAGTGGATTGACATCTCCCTCGAGTGAAGTTCAGTGTTGGTACAAAGTTGGTGCTGACATATTGTTGGTGCTGACATATTATTGGTGCTGACATTGGGTAGGTGCTGACACAAGTTCTCCTCCTGCTAGTTTTTGTGGTTGATTATCAGGAAGTCCCTTATTGCTGCCCCTCCCGCCCTGACACCATTCTCCCCCTCCTCCTTCCCCCATTCACCCTTCTCCCCCCCCCCCCTCCTTCCCTCCTCACCCCTAGCCACCCCTGTCTCCCCGTACCTCCTAGGGGAAATTTTTGCGTTGGATAAGGGGTGAAGGGGGGTAGGGAGGGGAGGGATGAAGGGGCAGAGAAGGAAGGGGTAATGGGGTCAGGATGAGGGAGAGATGAAGTGGGTAGAAGGAAGGGAGAGAGGCAAGGATGATGAAGGAGCAAGAAGGAGGGAGCAAGGGGTGATTGAGGATGGACTTGGGAGGAGGAATAGAGAAGAGAAGGGAGGAGAGCAAGGAGGAAGAAGAGATGCTTTAGGGAGGATGGAGAGAGAGAGTAGTGTGGGAGGAGGAGGAGGAGGAGAAGAGAAAGAGAAGAAAGAAGAAGAGGAAGAGAAAGAAGAAGAGGAAGAGACGGAAGAAAAAGAAGAATAGGAGGAGAAACAGAACAAAGGTGAAGAGGAGGAGAGAGAGAAGAATCAAGAAAAAGAGGAGGATGGATAGTAAGCTAATTAAAACTCACATAATACGATTAATTACATTTTATTCCCATACTTACCTGTGTAGGGTCACCTTTCCTTTATTTAACAGGTCAAGGATTTCTTTGTATGGTTATGGCAGGTGTCTGAACCAGGGAGAGGAGAGGAGAGGAGAGGAGAGAAGAGGAACCTGGTGTTGTAATCAAGTGAGTTGTGACTGAGTTATAGAAGGTTGTAGGTGTTGTTGTAATGTGTTTGCGTTGTGATTTGTTCTTGGGATATGTCTATGTTTGTATGTTTTTTTTGTTTAGTTTGTTTATCTTGTAGGATTGGAGTTCGTATATAGTTGTTCCAGTAGTTTTGTATAGGGTTTTGTAAGGGAGTAATTGATTCACTCACTCACTCACTCATTCACTCACTCACTCACTCATTCACTCACTCACTCTTTCACTCACTCACAAACTCACTCACTCACTCACTCACTTGCACACTCACTCACTCAATCACTCACCCATTCGTCCAATCACTCACTGATTCACTCACTCACTCACTGACAGAGAAGACTCAATGCATGATGACGAAGCATTATATGTCTAACTCGCAACTGAGCTAAAAAAAATCACATTATTTTTATTATTCTTTTATGAGTTTATGGTCATTATTTATTTTATTTTACGATTCTATTATTAGTTTTATCACTGTTCTTGCTTCACCCTGTCTTAGTTATCACTGTTCTTGCTTCACCCTGTCTTAGTTATCACTGTTCTTGCTTCACCCTGTCTTAGTTATCACTGTTCTTGCTTCACCCTGTCTTAGTTATCACTGTTCTTGCTTCACCCTGTCTTAGTTATCACTGTTCTTGCTTCACCCTGTCTTAGTTATCACTGTTCTTGCTTCACCTGTCTTAATTATCACTGTTCTTGCTTCACCCTGTCTTAGTTTAGTTATCACTGTTCTTGCTTCACCCTGTCTTAGTTATCACTGTTCTTGCTTCACCCTGTCTTAGTTATCACTGTTCTTGCTTCACCCTGTCTTAGTTATCACTGTTCTTGCTTCACCCTGTCTTAGTTATCACTGTTCTTGCTTCACCCTGTCTTAGTTATCACTGTTCTTGCTTCACCCTGTCCTAGTTATCACTGTTCTTGCTTCACCCTGTCTTAGTTATCACCGTTCTTGCTTCATCCTGTCCTAGTTATCAGTTATCTTCTCGTGGGATAAATTGGTTATTTGTTTTATGATATAATATTTCTTCAGGTATATATAAAGTGAAGGTAAGTTAGTATGTGTAGAGTGTGTGTGTGTGTGTGTGTGTGTGTGTGTGTGTGTGTGTGTGTGTGTGTGTGTGTGTGTGTGTGTGTCTGTCTGTCTTAGTCTGAGGATAATATCTATTTAAATATTATGTTGAAATATTTTAAGCCCTGTTTCATATTATTACTTAACCTTTTACTACGCGTTAACAACTAATTAAAGGTCATTAAAAACTTACCCCTTAAATTAGGTTATATACATCAATAATCATCATTTAATCGAGATAAATCAAATATTAATGTATTGACCAAATACAATAAAATACATGGTAACTTAAATTAATTTATCTGGTTATATAATAAAACTGTAAGTATACATCTCGTTGGCCAGGAAGTATAACAGGAGAGCAAACTATTATGAATCACTATCAATTTATGAAGAGAACTGAAGTAGGAAAATTGTGTACCTCAAGAGAGAGAGAGAGAGAGAGAGAGAGAGAGAGAGAGAGAGAGAGAGAGAGAGAGAGAGAGAGAGAGGGCCGCTTCTGAAGTATGACAGACATCCGGTCATCTAACTGAACACTGGTTAGAAAACTTGCCTTCCCCCTCCTCTCCCTTCTCCCTCTATCCCCTCTCCCCTCTCCCCTCTCCCCTCCCCTTCCCCTCTCCTTCCCTCCCTTCCCTCCCTTCCCCCAGAAAAAATTAATTATCAAGGATCGAATGGCTGTGGCTCAATGAGAACGATATAACTACAATATTGAAGATGTTTTTTTTTCTTCATATATAAATTACTAGAAGTCACCGGATGAGGTAATGCCTGAGGAAGTACTTGGTCTCCTGGTGGTCTCCTGGTGGTCTCCTGGTGGTCTCCTGCAAGAAGTAGCTCGGGGAGTTGCTATCCGCTACGATGGCTTGTAAGTAGCACATCCGCACACTCCACCGACACACACTCTACACCAACACACTCTACACCAACACACTCTACACCAACACACTCTACACCACCACACTCTACACCAACACACACTCCACCACCACACTCTACACCAACACACTCGATAATTATATCATTTTTTTACACCTTTTTCTGTCGAATTTATCCACTACGAAAATAATAAAATTACAATTAAGTAAAGTTACCAATAAAACTATTTTGTGCAACTTGCATTTATCATCTAGGAATGTTACTTCGTTATTGAGGTTGACGCTTTAGAAATACCAATTCTTCTTCTTCTTCTACTTCTTCTTCTTCTTCTTCTTCGTCTTTTTCTTCTTCTTTTTCTTCTTTCTTCTTGTTTCTTCCTTCTTTCTTGCTTCTTCCTTCTTTCTTCTTTCTTCTTCTTCTTCTTCTTCTTCTTCTTCCTTCTTCTTCTTCTTCTTCTTCTTCTTCTTCTTCTCCTTCCTCCCTCCTTCCTTCTTTCTTCTTCCTTCTTCTTCTTCCTCCTTCTTCCTTCTTTCTCCCGGGGCTCATCACACCCAGTACTAGACTATTATACTCAAGTTGGTCAGTTGTGTCGAGGAACAGGTTTCATTCATGCCCTGTGGTTCCTTCTCACCTGAGCTACCATTAGTTCCGTTGATTACATAAAAATATTTGAATCATTTGCTCGAATTAATGAAGCGAGATTAAGTAAGATTAAGTGAGATTATAAGACAAATAGGAACTAACTCGAATATGACTGAGTGAATTAGACCAGTGAATATTTCTCCTGACTGACTGACTGACTGACTGACTCACTCACTAACAAATTGACTGACTGACTGACTGATTAGCAAATTGACTGACTGACTGACTGACTCACTAACACATTGACTGACTGACTGACTGATTAGCAAATTGACTGACTGACTGGCTGAATTTTTAACTGACTTACTGATTGATTGACTGATTTATTGACATATATGTTTACTGTACTGACTGACAATCTGACTGACTGGTGAACTGACTAAGATAACTAACCATCCAACTAACCCACCCACCCACCCACCACCCACCACACCCACCCACCCACTCCACCCACCCACTCACACCCACCCACCACCTCACCCACCCCTCCCACCCACCCACCCACCCACCACCCACTCCACCCACCCACCACTCCACCCACCACCTCCCACCCACTCAAAAACTATATATCTCTTGTCTCACCTTTAATCCCTCCTGATCTTATAATCTAAGTGACGTCAGGTGAGAGTAAGGCAGGCAGGTAACTGTACACACACACACACACACACACACACACACACACACACACACACACACACACACACACACACACACACACACACACACACACACACAGTTTTGTAAATGGCAGGACAATGTGTAACAAAGATGAGAAAGTTCCCACCACCAAACGTTGCTTCCTCTCTCATACGGTGTCTTCTGTCCCTCTGTCTGTCTGTCTGTTTTCTCTACTTTATCTATACTATCTATCTCTTCTTTCTCTCTCTCTGTATTCTCTCTCTCTCTCTTGTCTCAAGGGATGAGTTAATAAAACGCAGGTTGTCTCATCATTTCTTGTTTTTGCTGTTGTTTGTGACGTGAGGGGAGGGTGGGTGAGGGGTGAGGGGTGAGGTGGGGAGGAGGTGGGGTGGGGTGGTGAGGGGGAGGTGGGGTGGGGTGGGGGGGTGGGAGGGGTCAGGTGGGGAGAGGGAGGTGGAGTAGGGGGGGTGGATGAAGGGTGGGTGGGGGAGGGGGGGGGGGTGGGTGGAGGGGGGGGTGGGTGAGGGGGGGGGGGGAGGGAGGGTGGGAGGGTGAGGGTGGGTGAGGGGAGGGTGGGTGAGGAGAGGTGGGTGGGGGGGAGTGGGTGGGGAGGGGAGAGGTGGGGTGGGTGTGGTGGGTGGGGAGGGTGGGTGACGGAGATTGGGTGGGGAGGTGGGTGGGAGAGGTGGGTGAGGGGAGGTGGGTGGGGGGAGGGTGTGGGGGGTGGGGAGATGGTGGGTGAGGGAGATCGTGTGATGGGGAGGTAAGAGAGGGGGTGGGTGAGGAGGGGGTGGGTGAGGAGAGGAGATTGAATGGGGGTGTTGGGAGTGGGTGAGAGAGGGTGAGGTGAGGAGAGGATGGGTGACAGGGAGGGTGAGGGAGAGGTGGGTGGGGGGTGGGGGAGAGGTGGGGAGGGAGAGGGGTGAGGAGGGGGTTGTGGTGGGTGGGGATGGGGTGTGTATGGTAGGGGATGGATGGTGAAGATATGCGGGTTGGTCACTCCATCACCACACCATCTACCATTACCACCATACCATTACCACACCCCATCACCACACTTCCATCACACCATCACCACCCACCACACCACACACACCCCATCACTACACGTCACCACACTCCATCACCACACCATCACCACACCATCACCACACCATCACCATCACCACACCATTAACCACACCCCATCACCACGCCTTCACGCTGCTACTCACAGTAGAAGACCGTGTGAATCCTCATGCAATCCACTTGTGCACCTCAAATCTGTGCACCACCACTTGTGCACACTCACAGACGCACACTCACGCAAGTCTATGCACAATGTTCCTGCACTCACTTGTGCACACCTCACACTCACACCCACTTGTGCACTCCAGCAGCAGCAATCTGCACACTCACGCAGGTCTGTGCACCTCCCACTTGTGCACATTGCACCTCTGCACACTCACGCATCTGTGCACCTCCACTTGTGCAGTCTGTGCACCTCCCACTTGTGCACACTCACGCAGGTCTGTGCACTACCCACTTGTGCACAGTTAAGTGCTTCAGAAACACATTCGTCCTTCTGTGCTAAATAATATGTACACATGTTCATTTACACTGTATCTGCTGCGGTTGTCTTTATCTACTGATTAACGGACGTACATTGGTGTACACTATACACATGTACGGATAATCACGTGTAGACTCGTACAAATTTTCTTACATACTACTACTACTACTACTACTACTACTACTACTTTGCTGTCGCTCAAAATCGAGTATGACGATCATCCAGCTATGATACGATGATATGAGTTATTTAGGATGTCACCTTCATTGGTGAGTTTTGAGATGACTAAAGAGGCGGATACGGGACCGGCAGAGTCGTTCACAGAAGTTACACGTGTGGAGGGCTACATCTAGTGCGGGAGGGGCGGCGGCAGCGTTTTCCACACACACACACACACACACACACATGTATACGTACATAACATCGACATAGTCACAAAGCCATCACACATCAACCACTAATAGTTCACATCAAGGCTTTCTCAGGGTTACATTCCTAATGCCTGTACTACCTCAAGGTTGTATTCTGGTCCTTCTCAAGCAATCACGCTCACTTCATGAAAGACTACGCCCATGTCCACGCCCACTCTCATACCCACACCCACAACCACGCCCACTCTCATACCCACACCCACAACCACGCCCACACCCATGCCTCAGCAAAGACTTGATGCCCACACATGTACTTATATCTTCACACACACACACACACACACACACACACACACACACACACACACACACACACACACACACACACACACACACACACACACACACACACACACACGTAAACTATAGAAGAAAAAAATATTATATCAAGTAATATTTTCTAATAACACTTTGACTTTACTGTGATTTTCGGCATAAGATTACCTGAACCTAATCTGATGTAAAATAAGGTTATAACAAAACTATAATTACCTTTTATAAAACGTTACAACACCTCACATAAAACACTTAACATCTCTCCAAATTAATCCTTAGCTTAAACCCTATAATTTGGTTTAAAAAATTTCTCCTTTATATTAAACTCTTAAATTATATATTAGTTAAGTTTCTTTCGGGTTTTTTTTCTTCCTCTTGTCAGTTATCTGATAAAGAAATGAAGTTATTATCTGATTCTCGTATTAAAGAGGTGGACAAAGCCTTACTCAGTGTGATACGCGCCCTCCCTAACCTTTAAGATAAACCTCGATGCAGAAATTGGCCATTACACCTTTTTGCTAATACATGCAAGATGTTATTAATTATGACAGTCGCCTCCTCCGCCCGTGTGATCCGCCTGATAACATCCTACACGCTGTATCGTAACAGTTATTGCTCGCTGAGGAATTACTTCACGGATATCTGACGGTAATTTTTTTTTCTTTTGTGTGATCCTTAAAAGAACGCAAAAATCGTGCTGACTGGATGCGATAGGTTTGCAAGAGGGTCCTTGATTGGCCTATATTTACAAAAGATTCTCTGATTGGCTTATATTTGTGTGACGTCGTTGGATTGGTCAAGAGGACTGGCCTGGAGGTCCTTGATTGGACAAGGACTTCGCCTTGGGAGCTACACAATACTAGTAATTTCAAGCACTTTGAAGGGCGTCGGTGGATGGTGTTGTGAGGGAGGGGTTGGCTGGAGAAGATTAAGCAAGGGTTATTATTTTCTCTCCCTGTGTCTCTCTCTCTCTCTCCCTCTCCTCCATCCCTCTCCCCTTGTCCCTCCCTCCTCCCTCCCTATCCCTTTCCTCCTACCTCTCCCTCCCTCTCCAAGCCTCTCACCCACTCGCTCGTCATGTGTCTCAGAGGGACACAAATAACAAGACTCGCTGTTCACTGTTTTGATGTCGAACGTAAAACAAACTGAAGACAGTGTCGACCTAGGTTAAAGACAGTGTCGACCTAGGTTAAAGACAGTGTCGACCTAGGTTAAAGACAGTGTCGACTTAGGTTAAAGACAGTGTCGACCTAGGTTAAAGACAGTGTCGACTTAGGTTAAAGACAGTGTCGACCTAGGTTAAAGACAGTGTCGACCTAGGTTAAAGACAGTGTCGACTAAAAGACAGTGTACTTAGGTTAAAGACAGTGTCGACTTAGGTTAAAGACAGTGTCGACCTAGGTTAAAGACAGTGTCGACCTAGGTTAAAGACAGTGTTGACTCGGGTTA